GGGGGGGGGGGATCTGTTACCACTTTTTCTCAGCTCTCACCGAACCGATTTCTTTTAACGATACGTCAAAAGATCACAAATCGTATCTAGTCGAAGACATTACCCTTAAAAATTGAAAAAATTTCCCTCGTTCCCATTAAATGATGAAAATACCCCAAAAAATTACGATTTTTATAATCGGTAAATTTTGACATTTTTTCACTTTTTTTTTTTAAATTACCATAATTTATTGAAAAATGAATGAATCAACCACTAATCAGGATATAAATAAGGAAATAAGATTTCATTTTGCTTTTTGAATAATCTATTAATTTTTTAAAATTAAACACTATCTACAGTTTTTCATTGAAGCTTTTCTTATGATAGTGATTTTAATCACTGTCAGATATCATCCATACTTGTCCCACTATGCCATGTCCATACTGTACCACGCCCCCTTTTTTTATTTTTATTTACCACATAACCAGATCCTTTCAAGGAACATTTTTTTTTATTATTTTTATCGAAGTTTAAAGCCAAGCTGATTGAATTCTTAGAAAAACCTTCGACTATTTTCCAAGGAATATCAAATGAAGTTGAATTTTTTTTAAAGCCTTTATCTGGAGACCATGTTATATCACTATGTTTCATGATGTCACTATGTATAGGGTGATTTTCAAATGATAACCTGAAATAGTATTATTATAATTTATTAAGTAATGGAAAAATAGTCTCTCGTTATTATTATTTACATGTTACGATAGCCTTGGCTTAATAAAGAATGAAAAGGTACCATATTTAATGAATAACATAGACCATATGAAGTTATAATAGGTTGAAAATATGGACAAGGTGAAACAAATTTATGACGTCGAAGTTGAACTATTTCAATAAATTCATTACAAGAAACTCCATGATCCTGAAAATATATTAATTTTAAGGTTATACAAATAGAATACTGTTAAAATTGACTTTTTAATTAAACCTTAATTTATCTTACACTCAAAATTAATTTCAATACATTTGAATTAATCCATTTAATAGTCCTATTTTTTTTGGCTTCATAAGGATTGCATAACAATTGTACAGTTTCTTGAAATTCACTAATACCAAATAGTATTTTTTTTATTTATTATTCATATAAAATTTGATCGAATAAAATTTCAATTTATATACTTGAATGAAATTTCATTGGTGTCATTTCTTTTTTCTAAATTTTGTAATTGTGCATCTCTACAAATAGTTATTGCTGGGTACGGAAATTCTGATAAATTGTATTTATCATGGCGTACTTTTACAGTCATTTGACTTTGCATCCATTTAAAAAAAATTTGATAAACCTGAATTCCACAAATAAACGCAACTGATGACATAATAATGATCCAAAACAATCTAGCAAAAAGTCATTTAAAAATCGTCGATATACGATAAACGTAATATTTCTTATTAAATAATTAACACCTTATATCAAATTGTCAAGTTTCAGCTTTATTATATAAAAACGAGACCCAAGTAAAATAAATCAGTATACTTTGAAAGCAAAAATATACATATTTATAAAACATTGTTATTAAAATATTATTAAGTTATTTAAATTTTAAATTGTAATAGAGCTAATAATAATGCCAACTATATGATTTTACAATTAAATTAATGCTTTAAATATTTTATACAAATATTTTATATATCTGATTAATGTCAATATTTATTCGCATTTTTAAGTTTTCATGTGTCAACAGCAAAATTTAGTTATTATTTTACCAGCACCAAATTCATATAATAATAGTTATAATTAAGTCAAGGAGATAAAACCCCTTAACTAAACCACTGCTAAGTTCATTAAGTTCTTCACATAAACTAATATGACCAAATTTTAACGAATTTCATTGTTTATCGAGATTTATTGTTTGGTAGCGATATGAAGATAATTGAATTAAAGCTAAACTTCAAAATAAGTGACTATATATTATAGTTATGTGATGATGAAATATTTACAATATTCACTATGTTTGTTATATTTATTTGACTATAATTTTTAATAATATTAAAAAATATATATCAATATAAAAATTATTTATTTATAAATTGATTAACTATCAAATTTAAAAAAAAATAAACTTAAAAAAAGAAATATATTATATTTTCAGTAAATATTTTTTATTTCGTTGAATTTTTAAAAGATTTAGTTTAAAAAAATAAAAATCTAGATAATATTGAATAATTATTATAAATTAATTACCTTTCAAAAAGTGGTCGTTTTGGTTCCCCTAGATACATCACACCATGTATACTGGTAATAGATGAAAACTTGCGAAGATAATTCCCGAAGAGCTTTTTTAGTGACTGATTTCTTAAATTGTCATTATATGCCACTGCTAATTTTCTACGGAAAATATTAACTTTGTAATATTCAGACATGTTTTTTGAAATTTCACTTCTCAAATATAATTTTTATGAAAATACCAACAATATTTTAAGACTAAAAAAAATAATAAACTCATTCTACTAAATATTTCTATTTATAATTCTATGTTAACTGAGTATTGACAGTTCTCGAGAATTCTTGAAAAGTTCTCATGCAAACGATGTTTACACAACACGTCAAATAATAAATGAAAAAACACGAAATTATGTTTTCATTAAGTTAAAAATTTATTTACACGAGTGATTTATTTCATTAGAGTACAATGTTTCAGTGAAAAATCAATTAAGATCCATTAAGTAGACCTACTACTAATGATTTTAACTCAATGCTTAAAATACTCGAAATCCTCTGATTATAAATTTAAATATACTAATTATTAATAATTTTTTTTCCATTATATATATAATATTAATCTATTTTTCTAAACAAATGTTTGTTAAACATTTATAAAATCCTATTGACTAATAGTTAATATTGACTTTTAGTTTGTAAGAAACCTGTCAATTTTGACCATGACATTTCTTAACTTTTCAAAATGTTAATACACTTTAAACATTCATTATTTGGAATTAAAATTAAAATACATTGGTAACCGTAATTTTAATTAAAAGGATCAATTAATCTTATAAGATGACTTATAATAAATAAAACACAAATTATGTAACTTTGTCGACCTTGATATTTTAAAAAATTATACAATTATTTAAGTATATATCATCAAAATCTAATTTATAATACATGTTGAGGTATTGTACAACAAAGTCAAATTTTTAGTATAAGTGTAAAAACTTTTTCGGTACATTTATGGTACTTCACTGAAATACTTGCTGATTTAGCTTTTTTCACAACAATTTAACAATCTAGACAAAATGGTAAAATCCTTAGATAACAAAACTTAAGGTAATCAAAATGATAAATCAAATTTCAATGGACTGTTGTGTCGATTTAAGAAAACATCGGTATTCATCAATTTATAACAGAAAATAAAAATGAATTTTTTTAGCGCTTAACAATGATTATAGTTTTATAAACTATGATCGCGAAACTTGGTTACAAAATGGGATAGAACCCCAATTCTTCCGTATTTTACAAAGATGCAAAGGAGTAATATTAGGGTGGTCCTTATTTTGCAAGTTTGAAAATTTGATGCCAAGTGATTGGTATTTTGTTCGATATAGCATACAGAATATATTGGTGAATTTTGAGCGTTCTAGGTCAACCCCTTCACTTACCTCAGAGTGGTTGAAAATTGAGAGTACAGAAAAAATTATCAAGGATTATCTAAAGCCAGTTTAATAAAAAATGTTTCACTGCAATAAATTTAAGTTTTAATATCAGATTTTAACAAAATACATTGAACACATTCATATTTTTTTCAATTTTTACACTGAAATTACTACAAAATACAAAAAATTTTAAATGACAACTTTTTCATCAAAAAACTATGCCACGTCACCACTATGCCAAGACACCCCTGTGCTGGGTTTTTTTTTAATTATAATATTTCCTATTTTATAAGATAAAATATTAAATAAGTATGTTCTCGTTTCAAAAATTAAGGTGACTCCCTTTTATGTTAAAAGAGTTGATTCTTAAAAGTAATTTTTAACTGATTAATCAATAAATATTTGTAACCAAAAGAAATTAAAAATTTGTTCCAATATTGCATTGATATTGTGAGTATTCAAGTCGAGTTGTTACAGTAAATAAAAAAGATAATTATGATAGACATGCGCGTAGTTATTAATTAAGTTAATCAAGGTTTATTCTTTATGCTATATTTAGATTAAAACATTTTTTTTTTTTATGATCTTTCCATTTTTATGGCTATTTTAATGTAAATAACCCAGCACAGTGGTGTCGACGCACAGTGTGGATGAGGCATAGATGGGACAAGTATAGATGATATCTGACAGTGATTAAAATCACTATCATATGAAATGTTTCGATGCAAATCTGTAGATAGTGTTTAATTTTAAGAAATTGGTAGATTATTTCAAAAGCAACAATAACTCTTATTCCCTTAATTTTATCTGGATTAGTTATTTAATTTATAATTAAATATATGAATAAATAATAATTATAATAATTAAATTTAGTATGAAATTAATATTCAATAATTTAATATTGTAATTTTTACGGAGATATGAAAATAATAAAGTAGTACTATATTTTTTTACTTTAAACGCGTATAAAAATTTAAAGGGTTTGATGCAATACTTTTCAATAAAAAATGTTTGTTACATATAACAAAGTTATAAGTTTTATACACAGGACTACAAGGAACTTTCATCAGAAACAAAAATATACTTTTCTAAATATACTTTTCCAAATCAACTTTTCGTGATGTTTTCAAATGTGCAATTAGACTTTTACTATTACTTCTAAGTTTCAATATTATTACTTATTATTAAAAAATAAGTATTTACATATAAAAAAATAATTAAGAACAAAAATAAATTGTTTTATATTAATATTGATTTTGATTATAAATATGTTAAAAATAAGGAAAATGGCATATTTAACCTATTTTTTTTATCCATTAAAGTTGATTTTTGTGCAAGTATATAATAAAAAAAATTAATTTATTACCATAACTTTTAGCTCAATTTGCAAGTTTGAATTTGACATCATTAAATAGGAAATTTTTTGAGAATTATAAAAATTGTATCGTTAAGATTAATATGCAGTCAGGAAATTTTATAATTACTATTTATAGTACATTTATCAGAATCGCTCAATTTTTTAGCTTCGATGCGAAGCTGAGAAGGTATTGGTTTTACTAAAATGTGTTTATTTTTTTATTTTTGTGTCTGTTACCACTTTTTCTCAGCTCTCACCGAACGGATTTCTTTCAACGATACGCCAAAAGATCACAAATCGTATCGAGTCGAAGACATTATCCTCAAAAATTTAAAAAATTTCCCTCGTTCCCCGTAAATGGGATAATCCCCAAAAAAATTACAAATTTAAAAATCACTAATTTACGAAATTTTTTCAATTTTTTTTACTTAAAACTGCCATAACTTTTTCAAAAATGAGCAAATCAATATAATTTTTTTTTCATAGATGCTTTATATCATTTGGTATATTTTTTTTATAAAACTGACCCTTTAACTGCCCACAGAGTGATTTAAAATGACAACCTTTTCACAAAAAATTAACTTTTGAAAGTGTTCCGGAAACTCCGACTCTTTTATACAAATCTTAAATTAAAAATAATGTAATATACTTTATTATGGAAAAAAAAATTTGAACTTTATTTTGTCTTCACAGAGAAAATAGTTACCAAATGCTATTTTTATGTGAAAAGCTCGATTTTATATTTTATATTTTTAACTTTATAATGCTATAACTTATTGAAAAGTGTATGGATCAACACAATTTTTTTATGAGAAATAATATTTTTTAATAATCCCTTTTTCATTCGACATACTTTATCTTAATCAAGATTTTAATAAGGAACTAGCAGATCATGTAGCTTTTGGAATAATCCACCAATTTTTTAAAATTAAACACTATCTAAATATTTGCATCGAAGCGTTTATTTTTTATAGTGATTTTAATCACTGTCAGATATCATTATACTTGATCCAACTATAACACGACATCACTGTGCCGCGACCCTCCTGTGCTGAGTTTTTTTTCATTTTAATCGTAATAGATAACTTAAATAGAAATAATAGTAATCATTTCCTGGTGACTTTTGGTATTTAAAATGATTCTACAATTGAAATATGAACTGAATTAATTTTAATGATTTGCTTTAACTAAAAAACTAATCAAAAAAAGTTGTTAAAAAGATCAAAAATCTATTGTTAATTCAGAAGAAACTAACAATCATTTTTTCTATAAATTATTTATATAGTAACATGTTACCAAAAAATTTGGTAACATTATTTGGAATATTATAGTCTAGTAGTAGAACACACAAATAGAGTAAAATAATTATTAAATTACAAAGTAAAATGATTGAATTTTGTAATTGAAATCTATCATTTCGTACTTGATTCATCAATAAATACTTTGAAAATATTATAAATTAATGATTTTAATTGTCTGTATGGAGAACATGGGATAAGTAACTGTTTAATTAATAAATTAGAAAATATTTGTACACAAAAACAACAAATATGCGCTCTAATACAGTCAATAACATACAATTTTTAATTTACTTTATAATTCAGTATAATAATATCAAAAATGTATGTATACAATTTCATATTTATGCTTAAAATATGTACAATTATTATAATCTGAAATTTGAATTTTGCGGCTTTCAACATAAAATGTCAGAGAGATTGGAGTTTCGATTATCAATAATAATACTCCCATTTTACTCCCCGCCTACCTTTAATAAACAGCTGTTTGCGCAACAATACACACTAAATTTTCCGAGTGATTGTCGAATGTTGATTTGTGTGCGTAATAGCTTTAAAACTTGCGTCGAAAGTTTGTAGATATTTAATTTACTTTAGTTTTTTTTAGAATTTTTCCTATAACGTTGTATAAATTGTCTACTGGTCATCTAGAATAAATAGTTTTATTTCAATAAGAAATCCAATTTAAAAACCAACTAATCTACTTTCATTTAAGTAAAATTATTTTCAAAGTAAGTACATATACAAAAGGTTATCTTCTGTTATGGTATTTAGAGGACAGTATTGTCTTCAATTTTCAATAAAGATCAACGTATATTTTAACATTTAATATTATATAGTTTATTAAAACCCATTTTTACTGTACTGATGTTAATATTTCACTAACTTTTTTAACCTACTTATAATTCAATACTATCACTGTCAAATTATTTTGTTCTACAGAACAATGTCTGTACTGAATCATAACTGTGATGATCAACCTGAGTGCCCATTATGTATGGAAGCATTTGAGGTTGATGATCTGAACTTTTTTCCATGTACGTGTGGTTACCAAATATGTCGGTTTTGTTGGCATCGTATTAGAACTGATGAAAATGGTTTATGCCCAGCATGTCGAAAACCTTACCCTGAAGATCCAGCTGATTTTAAACCACTTAGTCGAGAAGAAGTAGCTAAATTAAAGGCGGAAAAAAGGCATAAAAATCAACAGAAAAAAAACAAAATTACTGAAGATAGAAAAGTACTTAACAATATGCGAGTTTTACAAAAAAATTTAGTATTTGTAGTTGGTCTACCCAATCGGATATCAGAAGCTGAAGTAATAATACTTATATTTAAGTAAAAAAGTCATTATGTTTAATATCAACATAATACATGATTGTTTATTAGTTTTCCATTTGTATTTAATTGACTTTTAAAATATCTTCTATTAAAATTCTGTTGTTATAAATAAAATTCTTTGCAAGATCTTTTATTTAGATATTATTTAACATAATATCCCTTTTAAAACCTAAAAAATTATACTTTGTTTAATTGATTAGCTTTAAAAATCCATTATTTCATTTTTCAGACACTCAAAAAACATGATTATTTTGGAAAATTTGGAAAAATATTAAAAGTTGTTATAAATCAAAGTACATCATATATTGGAACTCAAGTATAAAAACACTATATGCACTATCAATAATTATATAATTATTATTCTATTAACTGATAAATTAGGTTTTTTACCTGCAAATTTAGCCAAATGGTTAACTTGCACTAAATATGTGACTTATCGTTTATAAAAATATCTATAGTATAATTTAAGTATTTACAAACTATTATAACTGACAAAATCTATTCAACTAATTAACATAAAATTTAAAAAAAGTAAAGAACAGTAGGGACCCAGCAAAGTAGATTTGAGGTATTTTTTAGATTTGTATTAATAAATTTCTGACAACGATTAAAATCATTATCATAAAACAATTTGATGCATGTTTGAAACAAAATTTGACATATCTACCAAAAGTTACAGTTTTCAACTTAAGACACTCATAGAAGATAAGTCATCAAGAAGACTTTGTTTTTTAATCATATATTACACAAAAAATTTAATATCTACTACAGATATAGATCGTTTATTGTTAATTATTACTATCATTAGATATGTTCTCTTTACTGTCAGTTGGTATATTTATAATTGTTAACTCACAGTATTGTGCCTTATATATTTCTATATTTTAAACTTATCTATTTATGAAGTCATAATTGACAATTAACTCCTTATCTTTGATAGTGATATCATAGAAACAACAATTAGCTACCTGTTTTTGTAATCCCTCATATATTATACATATATATTAAATTAACATTGTACATAAAATAAATTAATAAAGTTATGTTAAAAAATCAAATGCTATTTACTATTAAAATAAAACCTCTAACATTTTATTAAATTCAAAATATGTGTTCCCATTTGAAAAAACAAAATTGATATACTTAAATAGTATTACATAAATAATTCAAGAATAGTATGCAACTAAAGGTTGTATGTTATTATTTGAAAAAAAAAATATTGAAATTATGTTTATTCATAAGTAATTGAGTAATTATGCTCAGTTTCAGTGTTGTATTCACTATAACTTAATATATATATTTTTTAATTTTTATTATTAGTGATTTTTTGTTCTATATTATAAAAATTAAAACAACATTAATTTATTTTTTATAAATTTTAGGGTCCAAGTGCAAGTGCTTATGTAACATACTCAAAATGTGAAGATGCACTTAAAGCTATTTTAGCAGTTAATAATGTAATTATTGATAATAGAGTATTAAAAGCATCATTGGGTACAACTAAATATTGTTCAAATTTTATGAAAAATCAACCTTGCCCTAAAACAGATTGCATGTATTTACATGAAATGGGTAATTAAATACTAAATTAATCTAATTTAATTATAATTCAAAAATAATATTTGATGTCCATTTAATAGGGGAACCTGAAGCCAGTTTTACTAAAGATGAAATGCAACAGGGTAAACACCAAGAGTATGAAAAGAAATTATATGAACAATACAATGTGGTTTTAAGGTGAACTAATTTTAATTATACGTTTTATCTTTTTTTTATGATCATTATAAAATATTAATATAATTTTAGAAGACAGGATAATTCTCCTCCAATACAGAATTCAATAATGAACGGCGGTATAGAAAATATGTCTCAAAATAATAAAGAAACTTGGCCTTCTCTCCATAGTAATAATTCACGTGATAATTCACCAGGTATATCATTCAAATGTAATACAATAAATAAATTGTTTATATATTAGCAAGGCTATATTAACTATTAGGTACTACAGGTGCTGTCTATGAGTCCTGTACAGGGTTATTGTTAAACTGTCCTCACACAATATCATTAAAAATATAGAACATATTATATTTTTTTCTTTTTAGAAATTAATACAGCAGACTCTCATTATGTTTAATCTCAATTATATGAAAGTATAAAAATTTTTACTATAAAATTTCTAGGTGATTTTATTACAGCTTAATAAAGTAAAAAAATTGACATTAGAAAATACTCCTGTTGTATTCTACAATTTTCAAAAAAAAAAAGATTTATTCCTATCTCTTTCCCCAAAAAAGTTGTATAAAGTTATATTTTTAAATAGAATTTAAACATATATTTAACCAGATTACAAATGTTATCATCATCTAATAAAGAAAATGATTGCTTGATAACAACTAGTAGTGTAGCTGAAGCTCATAAACGCCTGGAGATATAAATAAATAGTGCCACACTTTATCTTCAGCCATTCTAAGTAGTCATTTATATTATAAATCATTAAATAGTTAGGGGTAGTCAGAGGTATAAAAAAATTATTTTTTTTTTTTTTTTACAGTATAATATATAATTTTTACAACAAATAACACAACACTATTATATTACGTTTTAACATTATTTAATAAAAGTTAAAATTAAAAAATCAAAAATTATTGTGGACCAAGTTATGGCTATATTTGTCGGTCCCTCTTTCAGTAGTAAGGTGTTTTGAAAAAAAATTTATACAACTAGCATAAGTACTAGTGCTTAATTGATAGATTCTTATTAAAAATTATATTTTTTATTAACAATAATAAACTAATGCTCTTTTCCTGGAAATTCCACAAATAAATTATCAGAAGCTATTATTATTATTTTTTTTTTTAATTTTTGATCAACACTAGATTAACTATTAAACTTATGATTTTTCTTTATTTGGTTTTATATGAACTAGTATGTTAATATGATAGTACATTTTATGGTGATCACCACAAGGTATAATTTTTTCAGTTGGGTTCCAACTAATATATATAACTTAGTGTACAATAATTTTATTTTTCAAATAGTGTTAAAACATAATATAATAAATTTGTTTTGTATAATTCTTTGTACATAATAAATTTAACTATTTTCCAAAAAAAAAAACCCGTTTTTTAAGTACTCTTTTTTTTCATGCCCATTATGGCTCCATGATAATCTTCCAAAATACTAGTTCAAAAGTTGTTAATGAATGGCCATTTTATAAATAAGATAATTTTTTCATTTGTAATTTAGTTAAACACATATGTTTCCATTTAAATCAAAATAGTTGTCATAGTATTAAGGGGGATAGAACTAAATTTTTTTTTTAATCATACAATGTAAATATGAATGACTACTGAAAATAAAATTATAATATTTTTTACAATTAAGAGTAAATAATACATAACTGAAAAATCAACATGTATGTTAGTAATAATATTGCTAATTTTCATTTATGAGTTTTTAAATTACTGAATAAAGATAATATTTCAGTTGAAGATGACAGATTATATGATGTTGAAATAACTTTAACTAATCACAATTCACAGTCAGATAAAAATTCAGATAAAGGAGAATCTCAAAATAATAAAATAAATGCACATAAAAACAAAAAGAAATCTAGTTCCCCCGAAAACAGGTAATCTTAATTATATACTTGATTGACTAGATAAATGTCAATTGTACAGAAAATGCTAAAATATAATCCTTATTTTACAATTCATCATTTAAAAAAATGTACTTATATTATTATTTTAATCATTTACACATTTACTTAGCTGTTACAAATTAGAATTAGTATATACTTCAATATAAAAAAATTTTAATTAAAATGTAATTGTAAACAACTTATTATTTTAGAAAAGATAAAGTAAATACACCTAATTCTATTCCATCAGCCGAAGAGGAACAGTTAAATACATTGGAAGGTGAATGTACTGAAAATAAAAGAAATTTAATAAAAGAAATATGGTATACTGAACCAGTTGGTAATAATCAATTAGAAATTGATGCCCAAAGTGGTATGGATTTTCATTAACTAATTAATTTTTTTTAATATATTTTAAATCACTTGTGTTTGTTAAAGATCTATGTATCTTTAATTTTTATTTTTATATTTGTTTTTTTACTAGTTAAATATTTTTATAATTTATAGATACTTTATTTGAAAATTCCCAAAAACCATCCTCAATATTTGAACAAGATAACAACAATTCATTCTTTTCATCAAATTTTTCAAAATTAACCAATGGAAAATCTAGTCCTGGTAAAATAATTTCTTACGCATATTAGGTTTTATTTTAATTTCTTATTTTTACATCTAGTATTAAACAGTGAATCTGATTGGAGTCCACCAGTTAGTGCAATTTTACCACCTATACCTGATGTTTTACCTCAAGTTCAAACTTCTGAGGATTGGCAAGCAGCATTTGGGTTTTCAAATAATAGTAATAATTTTAGAAGTAATACATATAATCAGTCATCAGATATTAATAGATCTACGGTAAGTGCAATATTATTTGTTAAGTTCTTAGATTAAAATTTTACACAATATAAATACTTTAGATTTTTTTTTTCATTGCAAACCTAACAATACTTTTTATTATTTAAAACTTATTGAGTAGTGTATTTTTCTTTTAATAATTGATATTTAATTTTAATATATGTAATCAATCTACACTTCATTTTGAATCACATATAGTGTTGCTATTGCATATAATTAAACTCTGAAAAATTTTAGGTGATAAAAACTTATATAATATTTTGCTTAAGTATTAATAGTTTGATAATTTTTTCCAAAAGGAGACTGATAAGAATTAAGAAGATCTGTAAGATAAATAGTACATTAAATAATATCAACTGGTTATATTTAATAATGGTTAAATAATTATGATTTATGAAAATTATCAATTTTTTAAAATTATTTCAAAATTATCAATACAATAATATAAAATTGTTTAATATGATTAATAAGTTTTATTAAATTAAATATTTAATTTTTAGTTAAATTTACCAGCCGATGATAGTATATTTGATTCAGTTTCTATTACACAACGAGCTTTATCTGAATATATGGAACAACAAAATCATTTAAATATGTACCAATCTAGACTTCAAAATTCTGGGTAAGTCAATTAACTGGATACCGATTCTCAACATTTTATTTTAATTATTTTTACTGATAGTTTCCCTTACTGCACAAAATTAATGGATAATCTTCACATAAATAATGCGGCTCCTCCAAGAACATGTCTACCACCTCCTGGATTTTCTTCGGCTTCCAATCAAATCAATTCCTATGGTATCAGTATTCCTCGTAACACAGGTAATTTTTAATATTACTCTTCTTTTACTTATTATAGCTTATTAATTTATCATAAAAAAAACCTTTAAATATGATTACTCTATCATTAATAAAGTATAGGAAATTGAAAAAATTATTTTTATCGACTAAATATTTTTTTTTTTCAATTGCGACTTTTTTAAAAAAAAAAAAAAAAAAACTTTGCTTCAAATTTGTATATTGAAAAATTGCAACTTAAATGATAGAATAATTTTAAGTGAGGAAGGTATGACAAACACCTCCTTGGGATGGTCTGTATTTTAGTTTGAATATTACCATTATTTTTTAACTATAATATAAATTAGTAGGTATAATTCTTAATTTATTATATGGTTTGTTTAACGTTTACAGTGATAATTTAATAAAATTATTAATGTTATTTTCTAATTTACAGGTAACACTAATAAATTGACACAAAATAATCAGTTTGGATTACAACAACATATAGGTCAAACATCTTCCCATAGTAAGTTGCAAAATGATAAATTAATTATAATAGAAAAAATATATAACTAATTGTTATTATTTAATTTTTGTTAGATTTAGATTGGTCATCAATTGATCCAGCAATTGTCACTGCAGCACCTCATTGTAATCTTTATACAACACCACCACCACCTCCAGGTTTTAATATGAGACAAACTTTCGACTCAAATTTATGGTTGTTCAACAACCTTATTTAAATGTGCTTTACTTATGTGATACTTGAGCAAGAAAATAAATAGTAAAGGCAGATATTTTTATTTCAATATTGGTTAGTAGTAAACATTTCTTTTATATTTTTTACGTTATTTTTTTTATTTATATATATTTATTTATTGTAAATTATATAAATATTATTATTTTGTACTTTTTGACATCATTGAAAATTTAAAATATCTTTTGTCTACTTGTTTTTCCAGATTATGATAACCCTAACAAATCCCACGCAATATTCTAATATTAATTAAATGAATTGTTTATGATTCAAGAAAATAAAAATTTGCCAAACTTTATTATTATTACATTTATTATTAATTATTATTCTTATTATATTAATTGAAATATCATAAAAAAATATTAGAACTGCTTTAATATCAGTTTATTATTTATTTTATTTATTATCCCTCCATTTTAAATTTTGATGCCTATTAACTAAAAATTTTAAAAAAGTTATTAGGAATAAAATTAAATAATTAATGATTTGTGTTGCATAAATAATTTTCAAATCAGAAAAAATAATCTAATATAGTTAAATATATTTTGGCTACAAAATAAATATAAATTTATCAATACCTTAACCATTCTATCAGTTTGCCCCTTCAAATGTTATTTCTTTAATTATTGTAACATCATTAACTCAATATATTTAAAATTAAAATTAAATTGGTGGGAAATTTTTATATTTTATTACAAAAGAAATGTCATTATATTAATTAGTTTGTGAGGAACTTAACACACAATGCATTTATTAAAGGATCCTTGAATCATATTTTAAAATGTATTTTTGGTCTTAAAAAAATTGGCATTACTAAGATTTATATTTTAATAATCTATTTAAAGGTTTACTTTACTAAGTGGCGTATTAAAATAGTTGTCTATAAATGTTTCTTAAAAGGCTTATAAACATAAGAATTTAATTGCTAATATAAATAAGAACTTGCAGAGCTTAATATATAATTTATTTAAACCACTTTATTGTTACATAATATGAGAACAGTGTCAAAATCACTTAATAAATATTGCTATTAAAAATAAACAATCATAAATTAAGAAAACAAATTAAAGCCCAACAAGTAAATGTCAAGTCTTTCATTCCTGAGTTTGTACAATTAGCATTATACTTCCTTGTGAATTGTCACATTCTACTTGGTGATTGTTCCAATCTTTGCTCTGACAAAATGTAGAACAGTAAGGTGTGCGTCGGCAAAGGGAACATTCAGCAAACGCATCTCTATTACAATTGGCACACTAAAATTTAAACAGAAAAATTAAGTCTCATAAAAATTTTAATTAATCAACAATTACTTTTTTAACATCAGGTAAATCATCACTGCTGGGCTGTAAACCTGCTGTAACACTAGAAATTGTTTCCACATCATAATCATTCCTACAATTTAACAGGGATAAAGGTTTAGGAAAATAAAAATACTTAATCAATAAAAACATTTGAATCTTAAAAAAAAAAATACCTGTTGTCAACATTATTTTCTTTTGCTCTCTTAAGTTCAGATAAAAGTTGTTGTTTTTCTGTATTCCACTTATACTTAGCAACTCTAATAGAGTTGTGAAAATGATTTACTAATTTTGTCATTTTTGAAGACATCTAAATAACAAAAGTCTTAAAGTTTTAACTATGTTAAAAAAAAATTATATATTTTTTTAATACTAATGAAGATTAAAATCTTACACTTTCTAATTTTTTAAATACTTCTTCTGTAGAATCATTTTGTTGAATTACTTCTAATTGAGAAATATCTGTAGATTGAATAAGCATACTAGAATGTTCTTCATCTTTATCTACATCACCATTATCTAATGAAACACCCACACTGCTATCACAACTATCTTCATCAAGACTAATACCAGTGCCATCATCAAGTTTTTTTTTTTTTGAATTACAATTAGCACCAGAATTCTTTTTACTACGTATCCTCTTATAAGGAGTAAATAGTCTGATAGGGCCAGTCTAGTTGTGTAAATTTATATATAAATTAATTAAATAACTTCTATTTAAAAAAAAGTAGATGAATATTTACAGCAGATTCATCATCACAACAAGCTGCACATGTACAACTCATTGCATGTGGTAATAATATTCCATCATAAATAAGAGTTTGTAAACTTCGACCACCAAACCTTATACTTCTTTTCCAATCTTTACTAGATGCTCGACCACAAAGGGCTTCAAATTCACTAGGTGTATACCACTGACTTCCATACTTAATACATTTTCCACGACAACCAGAACCAAATTTTTTTTTATGTAACTCAGCATTTGTTGTCTGTAAAAGTTAACTAAATTATTATACTAATTAAAAATATATATCAGCACAGTGAGGACTTGGCATAATTGGGACAAGTATTTATGATATCTGACAGTAAAAAGAACTATAATAAAAATACTTTGATGCAAATTTGTAGATAGGTTTTAATTTTAAAAAAATATTGGATTATTACAAAAGCAACATCAACCCCAATTTTTCAGATTTGAAAAGATTAATTTTACTGTGTTTTTTTTTATGCCTAGCCACTTTCCAGCTCTTACTGGACCAGTTTTTTTTTAACACGCTTATATTAGTTTCACCTGTATGTATGTATGTAACTCTCCAAACGCCACGCGTTATCGCATATTCCGTCGTCTAGACTAGACTGTTATACACATTCACCCCTCCCCACGCCTCGCTCACATCACGACGGCACACTATTCCTATAAAAATTTATTTTTAGTTATCGTACCCGTACACGCGTGCTTGTCATCAATATTATATATATATAAACAAATTTTTATTTTGACTGACCAATACCGCCCGCGTCTAATGTGCCTTACGTATATATATTTATATATTCCTACCACCGTTTATACCTCAGGTATAACGTTAGTCCGACCCGCCTACCCACAAAATACGATTATACCTAGTGCATGATACGTTTACGTACTTAAGTCGCTTTACTTGTATATATATATATTCTAATTACTATTAAAATTTATTTATTAACACGCTTTATTTTAATTAAGAGATATAAAGTATTCATTCCGATTACGAGGGATGATTTCCGTATCGTCATTTTTCGTCACTACCTCCACATTCCGGTAGTGAGTAATTTACGCGCCTGCTGCTTTCCTTGGATGTGGTAGCCGTTTCTGAGACTCCCTCCCCGGAATCGANACAATAATGTTAAAAGATCACAAATTGCAACTATAATTTTTTACACAAAAAAGGAGCATTTTTTGTTTAACTTAAACCATTTGCGCATGTATGATAAAGTGTCAAGACAAATTTTTAACCGTTAGTATATAACAAGCTTAAATTTAACATATGTTGGAAGCTCTGAGTATTTTTGGAACATTTTCAAAAGTTAAGTTGAAAATGCTAACTTTTTATGTAAAAGTTGCTATTTTTAATCCACCAAAGGCAAGTAATGGTCCAGATTTTAAAAAAATATATACCTAATAAAAAGGAAATACCTATAATATTTTTAAAAAATTTGTTTTATATATTTTTCAAAAAAGTTATGACAGTTAAATGATCTTTTGATTTATTGTTGAACAAAAATCAGTCCATTGAGAAGGAGTAACGACAGACTCAAAAAAAGAACAAAATAAACATATGATAGTAAAATTAATACCTTTTCAGCTTTGCATTGAAGCTAAAAGTGATTACTTATATTGGTTTTGGAATTTAATGTAATTTTGTTATTATATTTTATTAATATTTATTTTATTTTAAAGTTTCTTTACAGCTAAAATTTATTTAGGATATATTACTTTACAACGAATCGGTAGTACTGGTAATCTAGCAGCTTCTGTGTAGGAATAACAGGGAGTCGTTCTATGAATAGTTGACATGTTTTGATTTGTATCATCATCATGAACATCATTGTTGGATGAACTATCTTGTCTAATAACAATATGTGCTGTTTTAAGTGTTCCATCCTATAATCAAAATAAAAAACTGCTTATAGATATACAGAGGTTATATAGGTGTTGTTTCACACCTAGATCAAAACTATTGCAATTAGATGCAAATTTAATTACTTGTAATATAAAAATTATTTTAATAATGTATTATTATTTTTAATAGTAACCTATGTATAGTACAATGGTACAGCTTGAAAAAATTAACAAATTTTACTGGAGAAACACAATAAAATAAACAAATCTATACTATCCAATAACTTATTTTTGACAAGACTATCTTTTGGAAACTATTGTATCTAAATTTTAGAAATTTTCCTAACTTGAAATTTAGTGTAAAACCTTAAAAAATATATACATACAGAATTATTCATTAATTACAAGACGTCCATTTTCTTAGAAACTATTAAAAAATTTTAATTTTTGTAAAGGAAATAATTGTTTCATTCCAAAAATTCTATAATAATATGTAGTTAAATAACTTTTTTTACCCCTTCAGAGATAAAAAAAAAACGTAACATTAATTTTCTTAAATGAGAACTCTTATTTTTACTTTAATAATATAATAGAAAAAAGTTTACAATTTTGTTCTTACAATTTTTTTTATCCAATCAACCATTCATTTATTTTAGCGTGTTCTATAGTTATTCTACTGTTTTGTATGTAGGAGTCATTGTTGACTATATACTATTATATTCCATACAAGTTTACTCTATCATATAATGTAGAACCAACAGAGTGGGAAAATTTTCTTGATAACTATCATAAAAAAGTATATTGTGGCTCATTGAAACAGTTTTTTATTGCCTCCTGTATTACGAAAACTAATTAGTGATGAATTTCTATTTTTAATCCAAATCTTTAAGTAATTTAAAAAAAAAATTATTGATCGGATAAAAAAGTGGCAAGAACAAAATTGTCTGTAAATTGTGTTTTTATCATATTACAAGGTTAAAAATAGGAGTTCTCATTTAAAAAATAATTAATATTAAGGTTTTTAATCCCTAAAAATGAAAACAAATATATATATAACTACATATTATTGTAGAGTATTTTGTATCAAATAATTATTTCCTTTACAAAAATTTTAAATTTTCAATAGTTTCTAGAAAAATGAATGTCTTTTCCTTAATGACTTACTCCCTGTCTATATCTAAAAACTAAATACAAATTGCACAAATAATAGTGTAATTCAGTTAACTGTTTTTATAAATAGCATTAACTTGGGTAAAAAATTTGAAATTCAAATTTTGTAATCTTAGTTGAAAAAATATTATAATAAATTTTAAGAAAAAAATATAATTTGTAAAATATTTCTTTGTGATAATTTTGGTTATCTAATTTATGTTAGATAACTGTGTATCTATTTTAGTAAAAAATAATTTTTGAAGTAATTTTTCTCTACTTCTAGACTCTATATTCATTTAAAAAAAAAATTAATATTTCAACAAAAAATTGTAGTATTACCTCTGCTCGAACTACTGTGCGCCAAGTATCATTATCCACTTGTGTACGGGAATCACAATTCAAACAACTATTATCTACACACAAAAGAGGTTTGAAATCTCCTGAATCAGATAGCTGAAATGAAAAAAAAAGTACTTGATAAAAAAAGAATCTAAAATAATAATTTTTAATGAACTTAACTTTTACAAATAATTTAAGATTAGACACATTATCTAAAATTAAGTTAAATTTTCTATCTATAATAGACTGCTGTATAGTTTTATAACAATTAATTGTATTATCTAACCTAGGAAATCTAATTGACCACAAAATAAGATATGGCTACTCTTACAATAAGAATATAGGGTAATTGGTTTGTCATAAACCACTCGATTACTTACAAAATAAATACATTATTAAAAAAAATGTTTGGGATTTTTTGGTTACATATATTTCTTGATTTATTATCTACTAACTACTTTTTAAAATCATCCTTTATAAATTATAGGTGTGTAAACTTAATTTATTTTAGTGGCAACTTACATACTTAACTAGCTTATAAAACAGAAAATGATCAAATTAAGAAAAAAACGGGTCCTTAGCAACTTTTGGTTCCAGAACCTTGGAAGTTATTCTTATTTTTATACCTTAATGATAGGTAGATTACAGCCGAGTGATAAAAATAACACATGCATCTCACTACAAGGCTCTACTATAAATTATTAACTTCCGGAGTACTGATCCAAAAGAAAATATCGACCAATCTTTTTTTATTTAGATTATTTTCTATTTTAGAAACTAGTTAAATATATATGTTTTCATTAAAAAAAATTAAGTTACCAAGCCTATAAGTTATAAAAGATTATTTAAAAAAGTAATTAATACATAGTAAATCAAGAAATATATGTAACTAAAAAAATTCAAACATTTTTTTTCATTATCCTGTTTACTTTTCAATTAATTGAGTGGTTTATGATAAACCGATTGTACTGAATACTAAATTTTTAAAAATGAATAAACTCATATATTTTAATTTACAAATCGACCATTTCCTTTTTTTAACAACAATACGCTACTACTTTAACTATAATACCTGCAATGGCTGTAATGATTCAGCAGAAATCACGTTAAATGTACCAGATGCAGATACGTTAATCAATTGACTAACAGGTATAGAAGACACTTGTACTTGAGACGTTGAAGCGACGCTGGACGCTTGATCAGAAGTAGAATTATAAGCAGCAACAGCGGAGACGGAGACGTCCGAGACGTCATGGACGGGGCTTTCTTTCGCATCGACGTCGGTGGCCCTCGTACCAGATTCGGCCATGTCCGTCTGGTCGACGACACTTTCCGAATGACGCTGCGACTGTGGCCGGCCGCCGCCACTACCTCTGTCCGTTGTCGACGCCAACTGCTGTAGTTGCTGATGCTCTTCTTGGTGTTCGAGTTGTCTGGTATCATTGTCAGAAAAGCTTAGTCGGCATCTATCATTTTCAGCCACTGCCATACTATATTTTAATATCTTAATCTAAAATGTCCTACGATATTTTTAATTTGTAAAATTTTGTAATACTCATAAATTAATATATGATAGGTGACGAGTCTTAACGACGCCGTATCTATATCAATACACATAATAAGAAATTACGACATTCTTTAATCGAAAAAATGTTTATTCTTATCTTCGATTATCTAAAATCATTTCTACCGCTTATCTAATCAATGGACGCAACAAATGCAGAAGTTTGATATCTTGTACTTGCATTGATTATGTTTGTTAGTTCTCAGTTGTATACACAATCTAGTAATAAATTAATATAGCTATAATGTATCTATGCTAAATAAAAAACACAAATTAAACAACTAGAGAGCGCTCTGTTAAACTTGAACTCGTATCGTGTTGTATACAAAACTTGGATAAAACAATAATTTTCTAGAAAAAATTAACAAACCCTCAACTCAAATTTTATATGGAAACTTTTTAATTGGATTATCCAATAAAACAAAAAATTACAAACAATTTTGTTCTTATAATTTTTCTTAACCGTTCACCTATTACAGCATATTAAAATTAAGTAATTTTAGATATAACAGTAGTTATATTACATGCATAATCAATACTATTAACAATTAAAAGAATTCTTATGGTGGATTATAGATTAGACTTAAATCTAATCTTAAGTAAAATTACGATCTTTTGAACTTTAAACTTGTAGTTGTATTGTATTCCGTGTTGGGAAGAAATACGTTCTTTTTGAAACGAAGTTAGAAACTGCTTCCTTTAAAAATTAAGAACGATAAACGTAAACGAATTAATTTTTATGAAGAATATGAAAAAAAATGTAATTTTATTACTGTCGTTATATCAATATGTCTCAGTTCAAATTGCGTTTAAACCTACGTGGCGAGTTGTCAGATAATGAAATTATGTACATTCTTTTAATTAAAGGGTTTGTGATTATAATGAGTTTTGAGTGAAATCTAGTATAGTGTAAAACAGCAAGTTCTTGAAAGTAAAGAATTACAGACATTCTGGAGAAATTAAATTAGATCACCATAAATTTTATTCAAATTGAACGTATGCACGAGATAACTATAATGTACCTCATACTTTAACTATAAAATATGGTTACAATATAAATACAATTATGGTAAGCTTTTAANAAAAGGAATATTTCTAACACTGATTATATTTGTTTTCAAAATTTTTATCATATGATCTCTAACTATATCAATTTTCATAATTATCAGTTTGTATCTAATATAAATTCAATTTATTATAATTGAATCGGTGAGTGGAAGAACAGTACTAGTCCAAAAAGTGAAATTTGAGATAATCAAGTTTTTAAGTTAAAAAATTCTGTTTACAGTAACTTATAGACTTTAGAAGCCAGGAAATTTTGTAGCTGTTTTTACAAAGTTCCTAATAGCTTGTTATTACAATCATTGGTCCTAAAAATTTTTTTTTTTATTTTAAAACAATTTAAAAATATCATTGGACAAGTACTGTTTTTCTTCTCAATTATGTTTCTGTTTATAATTTCCCTGTTAACTTCTTTTAAATTAAAATAAAAATAATATAAAATAGTAGGAATAGTTAAAACATAATAGTAACACTTTATTGTTTAGTAACTTAAGCTTTTTTAACTTCATTTGGGCTTTTTCTTGCTTGCCCTTCGTGATACACGTAACAGTGGCCTGTATTTTCTTTTAAATCATGAATTTCAAAGGTATTTACCCACAGTTGACGATAATAAAATACCTCTTGAACAGGTATATTAGGTAAAGGAAAGTTTTGCATAAAATCGAAACATATTGCTGCCACACTAGGATTTTCCTTACATAGATTCTCAACTTCTTTAAGTTTATTATACAACTTATTGGCACGTTTTTTGTGGATTAAATACTGCGCTGCTGCTACTCTCTTTGCATTATCATTTAAGTTTTTATCCCGGATTCTTGATCCCAAGTTCTCACACTCTGAACATACGTCCACTTAAGGTCGACGAAAGCTGAAGTTATAATTTTCTTGAAAAAACTTTAGGTAGTACTCATATTTTATTTTATTTTCAAGATCTGGGTGCTTTTTAATAAACAATCTGTGCATTTCCTTAGTATTTAAGGTACAAGGCAAATACCGTAAAGGTTTAGAAGAATAATGAGACGTTTCCAGCGGAAATGATACAATGTGTTCTTTAATCTTTACAATGAATTCGTCTTTTATCTTGGACGGTCGATTGTTGTGCTTTCCACATCCATCTTAAGGTGATATACCAGATAACAAAATACTTGTTAATCTTTGCACTTGAATATGTGATATAGCATGCAATCTCATAAAAGCCTGTTTGGAAACAGATATGCGTAATTCGTTCTTTTTGACAAAGTACGCAAAATTACTCGCCCTTGGTTTTGCTTTTGCTCCACCAATCTCAGACCTTTGGCGGCGTCTAATCACAGATTTTGTTTCGATCAGCCCGAGTAAAAAAGTATCAAATTCATTTTTCGGTTTTCCATCATATAAATTATGAATTTTTTTTTTTTTCGTCATTGGAAAACGTATTCATACATTTGCGTCTGCAAACACAATTAGGACCAGTAATTTTAGAAGTAATTAGATTACCTGATACTGAAGTATAAGAAGCTCCATTTTGACGAGCGATCTTAATTTTTTGACGTTTCCATGTTTGAGGATAAACTTAGCGTTTCTTTCCTATCTTTGGTGTTTCATTTTCTTCATCTGAGGTAGTGTCAGAGTCAGTCATTTTTATTTCACAAAAACGTTTAAACAAAAAAACAAAACAAAATATGTACTCATAAAAAAATATTATTAATATTGCAAAAAATTAATAATGTAAGCACACATTCACACCACAACAATAACGATAACCATAGAGATAAATAAATGATAATAAAAACACTGTTTTTCCATTCATCAAAATAATAAATATACCTGTAGCAAGTGAAAAAAGGTTGAACTAGTACTATTTTTACACTAAATACTTAGATCTAAATTAGATGAGTTTATTCGTAAAAAAAAAACGAAATATCGAATTTTGGACTAGTACTGTTCTTCCACTTACCGATTCAATTAAATAAAAATTATAATCAAAACAGTTTAAAAAACGATAGCAGTGGTGTCAAGGCACTTTTTTTCTAAAAAATTATTGAAAAATTAACGAATCAAAATATTTTTTTTTTATATTGAAACCTAAGTAATTTCCATTTATTTTTATATAATATTTTTGAAAATCTGGCCATTTACTTACCCACAGGGGGTATTCAAAATAACAACTTTTTTACAAAACTCAACTTTTTCAACTTAAGTTTTGAAAATATTCCAGAAATACTATGTTCTGTGAACATATGTTAAAATAATGCTTATTTTATATAATAGAAGTTCAAAAAAAAAAAATTGTATCGACGAACTATTTTCTATGTACAAATGGCAGTCGAAGTAGAAAAAAAATAGGAGTTAATTTCGCTTTTNAGGCTATGGCAGTCGAAGTAGAAAAAAAATAGGAGTTAATTTCGCTTTTGGAATAATACACCAATTTCTTAAAATAGATCACTATCTACAGATTTGCATCGAAGCGTTTCTTATGATAGTGATTTTAATCACTGTCAGATATCATCTATACTTGTCCTAACTATGCCACGTCCATACTGGGCCACGACTCCACTGTGTTACCATTTTTGATATTAATACTAATTAGTTAAAAACGAGTATACATAAAAAATAAGATTAAAATAAAATTCAACAACACATCAGAGAACAAAATCATAGGTGAAACTAGGCACGGAATAATTTTGAATATTAGTATATTATAGAATACTATAGGATATAACTATACGGAATAAAGTTCTGAATATTTCAATTGTAGCACCTATTTAAATATCAAGAGTTACATAGAATTGATTAATATTTCTAATAAAATGATTTATCTTGATATAAATACAAAAAATATAATAAGTGATTTTAACGAAATGTTAGACTTATTACATAATTTTAATGTCAATAATAATTATATAAGTTCATTATTAAATATTTAATGTCAATAATTTAATGATATCAATTTAAAACTTGCAAATTAAACTAAAAAAAACGGTAGCACAGTGGTGTCGACGCACAGTGTGGATGAGGCATAGATGGGACAAGTATAGATGATATCTGACAGTGATTAAAATCACTGTCGTAAGAAACGCTTCAATGCAAATCTGTAGATAGTGTTTCATTTAGAGAAGTTGTTGGATTATTCCAAAAGCAACTTAACTCTAACTCTTATTTCTTTGATTATATCCTGATTAGTAAGTCTTTGATTTTAAAACATAATATATGAATAAATACTAATTATAATTATTAAATTTAGTATACAATTGATATCCAGTAATTTAATATTGTAATTTATACGGAGAAATTATAAAATAATGAAAAAGTTATATTTTGCTTTACTTTTACGTGTATAAAAATTTAAAGGGCTTGATACAATATTCTTCAATTAAAATTGTTTGTTACTGCATTGGACTACAAGGAACTTTCATCAGAAGCAAAAATTTACTTTTCTAAATCAACTTTTTGCGATGTTTTATATGTGCAATTAGACTTTTTCTATCTAAATTTTAATATTATTACTTATTATTAAGAAATAATTAAGAACAAAAAAAATTGTTTTAAATTAATACTGATTTTGATTATTAATATGTTAAAAATAAGGAAAATGACATATTTAACCTATTTTTAATAATAGTAATCATTTTATAGTAACTTTTGGTGTTTAAGAAGATACTACAATTGAAATATGAACTGAATTAATTTTAATGTTTTACTTTAACTAAAATAACCAATAAATAGATATGAATTGTAGTCATTTGACGTATTGTTGAAAAAAGTAGGTCAAGTTAGAGCAGAGAAAATAAATGATAGTCACAAAAAAATATCTTCTCGGCTTTGCATCGAAGCGAAAACTTAAAATATAGTAAAATAATTTTAATACGAATAAGAAATTTCTTCTTGCAGGGGGCGACTAAAGTGATGGGATCTTTGATCTTTATTGAAGTTATTGAATCTAAATGAGATAAAAATCAAACGAGTTAAAAATTTATACTAACTTAAAAAGAATTTAAAAAAAAATGCAAAAAATTCATGGTCACATGCGAGTTGGAACTTCGTACNTTCATGGCCACATGCAAGTTGGAACTTCGTACCCTAAGCTTGTAATACACAAATTCTACCAACTCGGCAACCGTAAATCGCTACTAATTTATGAAAAAATTAGTTATTTATGCTAGTTCAAATTACAAAGTTATTTTTCTTGATTTAAAAGAAG